AATTCAATTTCGGCGAAAAACACCTGCCTCGTTTTTTTTTTCTCTCTCCCCTTTTTTCTTTTTCTTTTCCTTTTTTTTTTTTTTTTTCTTTTTTTCTTCCTCGCGCGTACGTACGTACATACGTGAAAACTGGTGTACAAACAGGGTTTTCAGAAAGTTCTCGTGATTAAACTTTCGGGGACACCGTTAAAACAAATGAAAAAAAATGCTTCGCGAACGCGAGTTGCGCAAATTGTGAGAATATTTTTTTGAAGTTAGAAGAATTGTCGGATGCTGTTGTAGCTTTTTTGTACGATTCCGAATTATTATTATTATTATTTTTTTTTTCATTGATTTCCTGTTGTTAAAGAATGGTATAATAACAGTGGAACGCAATCTGGCAATTACACAATGATTTTTCGCAGCTTGTGATTTATGTTATGATATATTATATTGTACGTATGACGGTGTTGCAGTAATTATTATGCATGATAAAATAATTATTAATTTATCATAAATGCAATATAATATAATTGTGTTGTAGTGTAATTAATTTATATATGTTTACGTAGAATTTTCAATTTCTATGTTCCACAATTCCAAATTTTATTTCTCTACTATTTTAATCCCCAGACTCTCCCGAGCACTTTCAGTGTTCAGCTTTAACTTCCATATTTTCTAAAAATAATATAAATTCTTTCTGTTCCCTCTCCCCACGCCCAAAAAAAAAAAGAAAAACAAAATTGCAAATTTCTCAACGTTGCTCATCAGTTTTCATTTTCGCTGACAATAAATACGCTGACTTTCGCCGGCTTATCGAAACTTCACTGACAATAAATACTGCTCCGGTCACTCGTTTGTTTCACCGACTGTCTGTCTGTCTATCTGCTCCCAAAAAAGTTAGTTCAATTTTCGCCGATTTTTCTCAACGAAAGAAAAGAAAGAAGAAAAAAAATCGGAAGGAAACAGAAAACCGAAAGATGAAAACACGTATGTATGTATGTATGTATGTATGTATGTATGTAAGTTAGCGTAAGCTGTGCAGTCTCGAGAAGAAAAACGAGGGAAATATAATATTTTTCTTGACGAGGCTTGGCTTTTGCAGATCCTCCTTCGTTCAGTCTGATCGACTATGAAATGAAATCGAGGAGCGCGGAAGACATTCGTCGAGCGGAAAGAAACGTGATCGAAAGGGAATAAAGAATAAGTTACATCTCGATTTTGCATTTAGGTATAGGTGTATACGTGCACTGAGAAAAAAAAAAACAGTATGAATTCGGTAGGAAGATATCGATATTCGAGAAGATTCGAGATCCAGAGTGAACACTTTAGCTTTTAGTATTGCAAGACGTGGTTTGAAGAGGATTGAAAGAACTAAGCTTTGGTCGAAGAGCGTGTAATGCTTCATTATTTTTTTTTTTTTTAGAAAATCGAAGATTCTAGACGATCGACGTTTCACAAGTCTTTTTTTTTTTTTTTTTTTTTTTGGTATTGTTAACTAATTCCATTGTTCCAAACAATGAATTAAATTTGTCGGATGAGCAATTCGTTTCGTCACGTTTTCTAATTGGCGAATTTATGAAAAAGAAATGAAAGAGAATAAGTTTATTTTTCAAGCTGAAGGGACGAAATTTTTGGAAAAATATACGAAGCCATGAATTTTCAAAAATAGGGGCAAGCTCATTGGTCAATCATATATTGGAATGTTTTCTTGTGATCAAATTGAACTTATACTTGTCACATTCTTTTTTGCACGATGTTCGATTAGATTAAAGAATTTTTCTCTTACGTTATCTATATTATTTATTTACGTGTAATAATTTATCTTCGTCCGGTTAAGAACAATAATTTTAATGGAAAGAACGAAAGAGAGACAAACATCGTAGAGGAAGTCTAATATTGTTTAAAAATGAATTATAATTATTAGAAGTGTAACTGAAAACGAATAATATACATATCTTTCAGAAACATCGAATTTCTCGTTATTTAGCGATATAATTCTCGTGCCTAATTTTTTTTAACCACAAATTATTCTCGTATTCAATTTATTAATTATACTGCTCTTCTGCAATAATTATTCAATATTTATTATTAGTGTTATAATTAATTTAATATTTTAATATTAATTATACTGCTCTTCTCCAATAATTATTTAATATTTAATTGGAATGTCCAATATGATATCTAAATTTTTCACGCGTTTTTTTCACAAACGAAATAATATACACATTTCATTTTTTTTTTTCGTATATTTATCTGAAATGAAACATTCCAATAGAGAATTATTATTTGGTATTTAATTTCAAAGTCTAATATAATGTACAAATTTCATCAGTTTTTTTTTTTCTTTTTGCGTGTTTCTCATGAAAGAATATTTCTTTTATGAGAAACGATTTTTTAATATTTAATTTTAAAATCCGATACAGCGTGTAAATTTTATTATTTTTAACATAAGTTTCATAAACGAAATATTCCCAGAATTTAGCTAAAGAAAGATATCCGAAAATGTGAAAAAGTTCACGAGAGAGATATTAAATTTCACTAATCCTCCGTATTTTTATTCAATTTTTCTTCTTTTCTTCTCGATGCACCGAAATCTCTCGTTCGAAACGGATTCGCACGTCCACAATTTTGTTTTCTCTTGTTCGCAATTCAGGAGTAGACTTTTTATACACTGAATCATTTTTAAATACGTTAGTTAAACAACGAATAAGTAAAAATTACTTTCTGTAATTTTATGTATTTATTGCCATATGTCATCATGTGCAAAAAAAGAGAAAGTGAGATATCGAAATATTCAAAATATATTTTGTAACATCCAGAAGGAAAATATCCATTTTTTTCTGTAATACGTAGATTATGTGAAATAATTTTCACAGCACGGGAGATTCTATTTTTTTTCTTTTTCTTTTTTTTTTCATTCAAAAGGAAGATTTTTTGCTAATCTAGATCTCTTAAATTTCTTCCGTTTTTCTATCCTGTTTCACGTGAACATTTTTAACAAATCATTATGTTGTTATTATAAATTTAATTACTCGAATTAAACTTACATAGCTGAAGATAGCTTTTTAAAAACTTAAGAAAAAAAAAAAAGAAACAAGAAGAAATCACTTTTATTGACTCTGAACAAAGCAAATCTTTATTTAGGCTATCGCTGTGCGCCGAGAGTAAAAAAAAGAAAAGGCTGGATGAAACCTCTACGAAGAATGTAAACCTTTGATTGAAAAAATTGAAAAAAAAAAAAAAGAAGAGATTTAAATCGAATGGATAGGAAGCTGTAGGTGTCTTTCGAAATTGAAATCGCATATGCACGCCGAGGAATAAACTTGGGATTTCAATCTGATAGGATTCCCCTCTGAGAAGATATAAAGCAAAGAATCAAGATATTTGGTGCAGCAAACATACACATCAAAATCCAGTTTCATGTTTCCCTAAAATAAATTTGACTTTCTTCATTTTTTCTTGAAAAATTATTATTGACTTTTTCTTGTTTCCTAATTATTAAATATTTTAATTATTAAACTTTATTGACTTTTTCTTTTTTTTCATTATTAAATATTTAAAAATTATTATTGACTTTTTCTTGTTTCTAATTATTAAATATTTAATATATTTTAATTATTAAATTTTATTGCCCTTTTCTGAAATTATTGACTTTTTCTTATTTTTTAATTATTAAATATTTAATGTATTTTAATTATTAAATTTTATTGACTTTTTCTTTTTTTTCATTATTAAATATTTAAAATTATTATTGACTTTTTCTTGTTTCTAATTATTAAATATTTAATATATTTTAATTATTAAATTTTATTGCCCTTTTCTGAAATTATTGACTTTTTCTTATTTTCTAATTATTAAATATTTAATGTATTTTAATTATTAAATTTTATTGACTTTTTCTTTTTTTTAATTATTAAATATTTAAAAATTATCATTGACTTTTTCTTGTTTTCCAATTATTAAATATTTAATATATTTTAATTATTAAATTTTATTGACTTTTTTTTAAATTATTGACTTTTTCTTGTTTTTTAATTATTAAATATTTTAATATATTTTAAAATTATTTTTTATTATTTCTTCTTCAGATTTCTGATTGTTTGATTTATTTTCTTGTTGAATCCTCTCAAGGAACAAGGTGAATAAGTTTGGCACACAAGTGTTAAAAAAAATTAAAAGCATTCGATTAATTGATAAAAGAAATTGTCACTTAATTTCTGCAATTCTAAATGTTAATTTCTATAATTTCCAAGGTTTAATTCCTAAATTCTAAAATTTCAACTTAATTCTAGAATTTTCAATTTTTAATTCCAAGTATTTCTTAGACTCTTAAATTTTAAATTTCTAAAATTCTAAAATTCCAAATTTTCATTCCTACATTTCTCGAATTCTAAATTCTAATTTCCACATTTCGCATCAATAAGCTTCGAAACTTCAGTTTCTACGTTTCAGCAGTTCTAAATTTCGATTTCAACGTTTCAATGATTTTTCTCTCTGAATTCCACTTTTCCACGACTCTGCTAATTTCAGCTTTCATACGTATGTAACGTTTGTTAAAATTTCTTCGCTTACATCAGTACATCCATCCTCTTCGGAGAGAAAACATTTTAAATGAAAATTGAAGTTTCGTCCCGCGAGAGAAAAGGAAGAAAAATGTTCACTCTGTCCTACGAAACTATTAATCCATCTTTCAACATTTCCCAGTAAAACTTTTTTTTTCTTTTCTCTCTTTTCGTTTCGCAGTAACTATTTTTACAAGACAAAAAAAAAAAAAAGAAAAAAAAAGAAAAGGAAGACAATTTACACGTGCAGACACCAAGTTTCCAATTTTCTCGAACGAAATGAAAAAATTATTTTCCCCTGTCCTACAATCGGAGAAATTATGGTAACGTGCTTAAATCGCCTAACGTCTTCACTGCAAGCAACACGAGGAGACCATTTACTTGCATTTCTCGATACGATAAAAATATTTCACGATATTATTTATTCGTATATTCCGTTCACGTCGTATTCGTCGTATTTCGTAGATATCCTTTCAGAAGGGAAATGTGTATTCAAATCTGTCCTAATTTCACCTCGACCAGACATGAATTTTCGTACTTTATGGTAAACAAATTTTTGTACGCCGAACGAAACTTTTTATAGTAACCAAACAGTTCGTAAATTGGCAGATGTTAAATGACAGTTTCGTGTAATTGCGCTTTCAATTTAATATTTTAATTTTTTTAATCTGTACTTGATATTCGCGTTAATATTTCAATTTAATTTAAATAGTCTGATTACAATTCGATTAATTTATTAGTACAATTCCATTATTATGATTAATTTATTTATTTATTTCTCATGACGTTAAAATTGAGAAAATTTAAAATTTTGTTACTTCGCTAAAATTGAGGATATTTAATTTGAAAAATTCCAAAATTTAACTCTAAATTGTCACTGGCCCAATGATCAATAATAATAATTTAGATCAGTTAAGAATTAAATTACTTAGATAATTGAATTATATTATTAACGTATATTTATGAAAAACGAGCGAATAAATGGATGACTCGTGAATGATTCCACGCTATTGTTTATAAAAAATGTGCATTCCGATGATTCGATTCGCCATAATCCTTCTGCGTCGTATGCGAATACTCGTCTCTGTGACAGTTGTTCGTGTAATCCATATCGCACAAGATAGAATTTATATTTTGCATGGAATAGAATCGAACGTTGAAAATATGAGACCGAGTTATTTATTTACTGTTACAGTTGCCAACGTATACATCACCTTTTGGTATTAACTTGATTACAAAAAATCACGTTTTGTAAATTCTTTGAAATTCAGTATGTTATTTTCATTGCACTGATATAAATAAGATTTCTGTAACAAGTTCTCAAAAAGATATTATATTAATATTTATATTCCACAGATCTAAATTTAAATTTCTACATTTTATAATTCTGGATATAATTTCTGATATAAATAAGATTTCTGTAACAAGTTCTCAAAAAGACATTATATTAATATTCATGTTCCACAGTTCTAAATTTAAATTTCTACATTTTATAATTCTGGATATAATTTTCTGACACTCAAATAACTCCTGTAAATTTTATTTCCTAGATTCTACAATTCTGATCATATAATAAAAAAAGATACACACCAACGAAAGGTGAGAAGTTAAGTTAATTAATAGTTTAGAAATTAAATTAATTAGTAGATAAAAAATTAATTAATTAATGCGAAAGGCACAACCTGAGTGAGGATCAAATGCATGAACAGTTTGATTTAATATAATTTCATTTGAAATTACAAATGACATAAAAATATTATACACTGTCATCTGTATAATATTTTTAATTATGTTATTAATGAAACTTACTTTATCATTCATTTTGAAATAAACGAGAGTATTCCTTTTGCTTAAAATGAATTTTTCAGACGCTTGAACTTCTTCGTGTGAATTATTTTATTTGTTGTGTTAATTTGATACATATGTATCATGTATTAAAATTCTGACCATACATCAAAATTTAAAATATCAATGAATATATCACACACGCGTTAAACGGTTGTTTCACAATTTTTTTTCCAATTCTTTTCAATTTGAGACTCGTTACAAAATTGTTCCACTGCCACCTGATAAATTGAAATAAATTAATATGTTATTACTTGTGCGATTGAGATTTGAAATTCATTTAATATATATTGAATGAAAGATAATCGGATTAAAATATTAATCAATTTTTTAAATTATTTAATTATTAATTAACTGTTAATACTAGTACCTTCGTACACATTTAACAGCCTCTTCAATATTGTTTTATTTTTAGTTTCACGTTGGGACACAAAACTTTGTCGATATTAACAGTACGAAACTAAAAAAAATAAAACATTATTTAGAATAATTATTAATAATTTATTATTAATATTTATCAATCGTTCTCGTATTTTACTGGTTTGTAGTATTTATTTTATGGTATTATATGTTTCACCTCTTTTACCATTTTTCAGTTCTCTTAAAAAACAGAAAGAAATTAAAAATTAAAGAGTACCATTCCCTTGCAGCACTTGATAATCAAAATAAGTAGATACAATATTAAATTCATATTTTTAACTTTTAGTTGGTATGGTCAGATCATCGAAGGGCATAATCAATTCTCAAATAACTCGGGCAAGAGATCATTTGCAAATGACTTGGACCCAAGGCAAAGTTTACTTTATCCCAAGTTTTATTCTTCATAAATGGTATAAAAATAATAAATTAATGAAAATCATTTCTCATTTTATAATTTTCTGCATAAAATTATAAAATCTTATTTGCCAAATTTCTATTGAAACAATCCACATTATATCGGCTTTATACGCCTCGACCAGTAAATTCTAGTAAGGATTCAATTCGCCAAGATCAGTCGGTTTATTGACAATGACATGTCGAGCGAACAGCTCACTTGGGTAGCAAGGCAATGGAGAAGGTAGACAACAGGATCTCGATGGAAGTGGAGCACATATTGATGGCGGGAAGCAAGCAGGACCAGGAACTATAGGTATTTTGCAACAAAGAGGCGATGGCGTACAACAAGGAGGAGATGGTGGACAAGGTCGTGATTGTGGACAAGAAGGAGTTGGTGGACAACGAGGAGGCGGACAACAGGGTCTTTGGGGAGGAACAACAGGACACAGTTCCTCGATTCTCGGTGGTAGTATAATAGAACACGTCGGTGGAGGTAGTACACTAGGGCACTTGCTGTAAAAAATTCGAAAAATGTCAATCATATCAATGTCAATCTCAGTTCCTCAGGGGTTTCTCTATTAAAATCTCAATCAAGTAAATGCTGCTATTAAAAATTCACTTTGACAGAAATTCATATCAAATGAAATATTGTTTCTATTGTTTTACACATATTTGTTTCATTTGTGTATTTGTATTGCTTCATATTGAATGTTTTGTGTTTTTTTATTATCTGTATATTCTTGTGCAATCCGTTATTACAATATTACACGAATAAGTGTTTTGTAAAATGCAACAATACAGGAATGAATGACGCAAGTAACAAAGATATAAGACCACATAAAATTTGCAAATTTTTATTCACAACACGTCGCGTTAAAAGTTAAAAATTCAAGTTAAAATTTTTAAAGGGCACAAATTATCTTCAGAAGTAACACGTAATTTCTTTTCACATTATATTCTTTTTTACATTTATTTTAATAGCAAGAAAATTGTTCTTTACCATTGCGAAAAAAAATATTTATCCTTATCATTGTAAAAAAAAATTTAATTCTTTTTCTATCTAGAAAAATAAACGTACCAGCACTCGATGGCGCAAAGCAAATATTTCATTTCCTCCAGATCGTTCCATGCTCCTTGCGTTACACTGCAACAATTCATTTTAAATAGAATTGAAATAATGTCCAGTTATGTATTAGTAGTTTGGACATTCGTAAAAATCCTTTTCAAACACGATGAATTATATTTTTGATGATATAATTTTGAATTTTTCATTAAGTCAAAATGGGTTATAACGCCGTGTACGCAGTACAAAATGAAAAATTTTCGAATCGCAATCAAAAAGTCACTAAAAAAAAAAAGTAGTATCATTTGTTTTAATGCACAAAATTCCTACGAATTACTCTTAACGAAATAAATATTTCAATATTCTTAAGCAGAATCAATCTTTTTCAGGTTTTACGATTTATATTGAATTTCTTTCCTTCAATGATAGAATTTTTGTTAATTAACATTTGTTAAATAAATATCAATATAATATTTAATCTTTGTAATTAATAAATTATAATTTTTATAATTAATAAATTATAAATAATTTTTATTTATTTAATTATTTATTTATGAATTATTTTAAATAAATAAAAATTATTTTGTTAAATAAATATTAATTTAATACTTAAATAGCACAATTTAAACAGCAATCACAAACGTAGTTATAAAGTAACTAATATCTCAATCGATACTAAAATAACTGACATCTCAATCTTAATTAATTCATTAATTGTATTAATACGTTGGTCTGCTTTTATTTATTAACATCATTTACTAACATCACTAGGCATAATCATACGTCAATATAACATAGTCGAAGCTTCTCCATACATTGTTTTTTTTCTCTCTTTAACAAACTTAATTTGATTTTACGATCAAATAGGTAAAAATTAATTATCATCACACGATGTCTTCGCCAGAGAAGCAAAGCGTTTACCAACGGTTAATGTTACAAATATCTTACCTTCTCCCAGCGAAAGTTCGTCCACTGTTCTTACACCCTGCAGGTTAAGAAAAATTCTTCACAATTCAACAGTTCACGATAGTTCAATTTATTCTAAATACTGTTTTTTAACGTAGGACCAACTACTATATTCTTTTGGGCACCTACATTTAAATGGGGTTTGGTGATAGCAGGATTAGGAGATATGAATCGTCCCCCAGAAACAATTTCTCTTTACCAAACTGCAAGTCTGATGATTACTGGCGCTATATGGTCTAGGTATTATTTGAATGATATTACTCTCCTCGTGAAAATACGTAGATCATTTTAAACAAAAAGAAAAAGTCTTACAGATTGTTTGTCATCAGGTATTCGCTACTCATCACACCAAAAAACTATAACTTATTAAGCGTGAACGCGTTCACGTGCATGACAGGAACGTATAATTTTATACGAGCTTTGCTTTATAAAATACAACAGGAG